CCACTCTGGGCCCGGGACAACAGACCCGTTTGTCCCCCCCTATCGGCGGGCGTGCTGGGAACTGCCTCAAAGAAACCTCCATGGACTGGGAGTCAATGAAGAGGCTGAGCAGTGCTGGAACCCTGAACCCTGAAACTTACTGGAAGTCTGCATAAAGAGGCTGAAACAGGAATAATGTGATCACTTCTCTTTGTTCTGGTTAAAGGCCTGTGAAAATATGATTATTACAAACTGAACCTTTCTGTCCACAAACAAATCCTGTTAACTTTACGAATAAGAACAGTTGCAATAATAATGATAATGTCAGCATGTTTCTGTGCACTGGTTTTCCATTTTTTTTTGTAGATTGGTGAATCTGCAAATGAAGTGTTTCAGTTTTCTGTCTGACATCTCATGTGTACAGACTTACTCTGCTGAACTGTATCCCAGAGCGGCTCCATCAGCCATCCAGGGGGGAGGGAGGCGCCCCCCCCCCATCCCGGCTTTCCCCCCCGGTGTCCCCCTCACCCTGCTCGGCTCCGTCATCCCGTCGCGCCGGAAAAGGCAGAGCTGAGAAAAAGGAGGCGTTGCCCTCCAACAACACATCAGCTGCAAATTTATGCACAGCAGTGAAATCTGTGCTGCTGCTGCTGCTGCTGTCCTGCTCCCGAGAAGAAGAAGAAGAAGAAGAAGAGAGGCAGCAGCGGGCATCACGGGAACAAAAAGCCCGGCAGGCCGCAGAGTTGCTCGGCGTGCTTGTGCAGCGGGCAGCCGGTGCAGCAGGAGGCGGAGAAAAGCCGCACCGCTGACGGTAAGGAGCCCCCGTTAACGAGCCAGACGGCGGCGGCGGCGGCGGCGGCTAGCGGGATGCTAGGAGGAGTAGCCTCCGCTGGATCCGGCGTTAACTGGTGGGAAACATGGAGGGCAGCTAGCTAACGTTAGCTCAGGTGATTGTTGCAGACTGCTGGGACGGGACGGAGTGCAGGAGGAGGAGCAGGATACTGAGGGAATAACAAAGCTGCTCCTCCGCGTACGGAGTTCCTGCAGGCTGCTAACCTGCGTCCACATCAGCTGCTCTCGTGCAGCTCTTTGTAAATGTGGACATAGTGTGTCTGCTGCATGGAGCTTTGTGCAGCATCAACTTTG